CAAAGGGAAGGTAGATTATAAAGAACAAGACCTTTTGGGGTCTTCATTTCCCTTCCTGTTAACAATTCCTTCATAAGGTTTGCTCTTCCTGCCTAACATCAATAAAAGTGGTTTTTCCAGAAAATATGTGAAGAGCTGTAATTAGTGATTTAACTATGTTTTCTTTTTGGCTGTGTTTTAATTTATATATAATGTATGTTTAATTGAGGAGGGCTTGGAGAGATAGAAGTGGCCAATATGGGGGCTGCACCTTGCCCTCCAGATCTTTGTCTCCCTTAAGACCTCTAGAGAGGGGGAGGGGGAGGCAGGGGAGCTGTGTGAGGGAAGGCCGCCCCAACAAGCCAGCATCCTTACCATTTCCTGTTGACTTGATGAGGGGCCTGTTTCCCAGGCTTCAATTCCCAGGAGTTCTGACTTACCACCAGCCTATCAAATACTTAGAAGGCGAGGGCTGGGCAGCACAAGTAAACTACAGCTAACTACTTAAAAGCCAGCCATCAACAGACCCCAATCAACATCTAAAAAGCCACATAGATAGAACAGGCACTATAAACACCACACACAAGAACGGCTCACACTCTGCTAGAGGGAAATTCCCTGGGGATGGGCTCCAGCACGAGTCCAAAAGCTTAGAATACAAAGCCTCTGGTCCTGGTGATTGGATTCTGCAACATTATTCTGGGACACATATATTCTCCTTCATACATAGGCATTGCTCTGAGAGGAACACCAGATCCAGTGTATGACCATTCACCTGTGCTGGGTTATGGGCAAACTGTGATCTGCCTTGTCTCCCACCAGCTTTCCTCCTTCAAGCATGAAAAAACTATTCTTAAGAAATTCACTTTCCTTATTTGAAAAAAAAAACCAGTTTCCCATAGTCCAGGTAGTCCTTGATGTATGACCCCAACAGAATTGAAAATTTATGTTGTTGAGCAGGATAGTTGTTAAGTAAGTTTTGCTCCATTTTGTGACCTTTTTAGCCACAGTTGTTAAGTGAATCACAGGGGAGTAAGTTGCCCTATAATAAAGTAATGTACTAAGAAGGTTAAGGTTGTTAAAAACAAAAGAATAAATACAACACAAGAAAAAGCAGCTGACTTTTGCATTTCTAAAACAGCAGGAAAAGTATTTGCATTAGCTGCATGAAGGAGAAGTAAAGTCCAGACGCGATGGTTTCCTCTCAATATGCTGGAGGTGCAGATTCTAGAATTCCCAGCTAGAGCACATCATGAAGGCATTAATTTGGAGAAGGACACACAACTGTAGAAAAAATGTTTGCCAATCACAATATCGGTGTAAACTGTAGCTCCAGCTCTGTACAACAAATTATGTAATTACAACATATATGTTTTCTGAGGTTTTCGCGGGTGTTTGTATGTGGGTCTTTGGTTGTTCGGGTTTTCTCCCGCGTAAAATTGGAAGTGTCTTGGCGACGTTTCGACGAAGTCCCATTCGTCAAATTCAGGCTGGTGTTTTCAGCTTCGTGCTTCGAGCAGCAATGTGTGGTCTTAGCTGTTTCTTCCTTTTAACTGCCAGTGGGGGTATGAACTGATTGGGTGGGAGCTTGGCTGTGTTCTGATTGGGTGAAGGTGTGTTCTGATTGGCTGGGGGGTTGGCTCTGCTCTGATTGGCTGGGGGGTTGGCTGTGCTCTGATTGGCTGGGGGAGTGTTCTGTTTGGTTGTGCTCAGGTTAGTCTGAGTTGCAGGGGGGTTTAAGATGCTGGGCTGCCTTGCTATTTTTTGGCTTCGCGTTTGTGGTCGTGCCTCATCTTCATGGAGGGTGTCAGTTTGCTTCATGTATGGATTGGAGGGGTTTAAAGTGTCTAATGATGCAGCTCTGGTCTGGCTTCTAGTTTGTGGTCGTGCCTCATCATCGGTGTGGCTTTGGGTTTGCTTTTTGCGTGGATGTGTGGTGGTGACATCCTGTGTGGTTTTTGTGAGTGTGGGTCTGGTATCATTTTTTGTGTTAGGGAGTCGTTTGTCAATAAGGGCGGGTTTCCAAATGGCTGGTAGGCGGGAGGGTATCATCTCGCTTGTTCATGCCCACACAGCATGAACAAGCGATACCTCCCGCCTACCAGCCATTTGGAAACCCGCCCTTATTGACAAACGACTCCCTAACACAAAAAATGATACCAGACCCACACTCACAAAAACCACACAGGATGTCACCACCACACATCCACGCAAAAAGCAAATCCAAAGCCACACCGATGATGAGGCACGACCACAAACTAGAAGCCAGACCAGAGCTGCATCATTAGACACTTTAAACCCCTCCAATCCACACATGAAGCAAACTGACACCCTCCATGAAGATGAGGCACGACCACAAAAGCGAAGCCAAGAAATAGCAAGGCAGCCCAAAATCTTAAACCCCTCTGCAACTCAGACTAACCTGAGCACAACCAAACAGAACACTCCCCCAGCCAATCAGAGCACAGCCAACCCCCAGCCAATCAGAGCACAGCCAACCCCCAGCCAATCAGAGCACAGCCACGCCCCTAACCAATCAGAACACACCTCCACCCAATCAGAACACAGCCAAGCTCCCACCCAATCAGTTCATACCCCCACTGGCAGTTAAAAGGAAGAAACAGCTGAGACCACACATTGCTGCTCGAAGCACGAAGCTGAAAACACCAGCCTGAAGATGACGAATGGGACTTCGTCGAAACGTCGCCGACACTTCCAATTTTACACGGGAGAAAACCCAAACAACCAAAGACCCATATATATATATATATATATATATATATATATATATATATATATATATATATATATATAAAGTTTTTATTGAGTACAAAGAAAAAAAAGGATTAAAAACACTGAACATGGTAAATCTTCTTTGACATCTCAGTCCATATTGTACATTAATTACATATATCTATATACAAACTATACATTTTTTTAAAAAAAATTTATTTTTCCAAACTCTCCCCCATACATATACCGTAATATTTATCAGATGTTAACATACATTCTTTTTACATTCATATATAAGACACTTTTAATAAAATGAAATACATACACATGACTTTTGGTGTTGCTCGCCCATTTCCCCTTTCACTGTATCCACACTCCTTCTTCTCTACCTTCTTTCTCCCTTTCTTCTCTTCCCTACTTCCCTCTTCTTCCTCTCCTCTTCTCTTTCCTTCACCACTCTCCTCCCCTTTCTCCCCACTTCTCCTCTTCTCCTCCAACCTTCCTACTTCCTTCTCCCCTCCTTTACTCTTTTCTCTCTCCTCTCCTTTCTTCCCTCTCATCCCTCTTCAGATATAATTCAGGGGTAATGTCCGAGCAACTCCTCTCTCCAAATTTCCCTATCTGTATTATATACAAGATTAATTTTCTCTTACATTAATACTTCTATTTGTCTAACCTTCTCGGTATATACTTCTATAAATATTTATACAACCTCCAGTTATTCAATACTGTGTCGCCTGGGTCTCCCTCCTTATCTGCTCCTTCTTCTTCCATCTAAATTGATGTTAATTATCTTTTAACCGTATTCTCTTTTTAGCCAATCATAAAAAGTTCCCCAGATTTCATAGTAGTCTGACTCTGTCTTATCTTTAATTGTCAGTTAGTCTATTCATTTCTGCACATTCCAATATTTTCCCAATCAGCTCTCCCTCGGGGGGGGGGGGCGCTTTCAGTGCTTTCCAATTTTGTGCAAACACAATCCTGGCTGCTGTAATTATATGAATAATTAAATATGTTTTCTCTTTATTGTATTTCCCTGGTAGAATACCCAACAGGAATATTTCTGGTCTAAGTTCTATACGTTGTTGTATCATCTTTTCTATCCATGTTCTAATTATATTCCAATAAGTTTTAGCTTCTACACACGTCCACCACATATGGTAGAAGGAACCTGGTATCTGATGACATTTCCAACATTTCATAGATCTGTCCTTAAACATTTTAGCTAATCTTTCTGGAGACATGTGCCATCTGTAAAACATTTTGTACATATTTTCTTTATACGCGGTCACCATTGTCAATTTATAGTTTCTTTCCCATAGTTGCTGCCATCTGTCTAATTCAATTGTGTATCCAAAATTCCTTGTCCATTTTATCATTGTCTCTTTCACTTGTTCCTCCTCTAACTCCGTATGTAGTAGATAACTGTACATTTTTTAATCCATTTTTCTTCCGTTCCTGTATTTCATCTAACTGTTGTCCCCAAATTAACACCATCTATTTTAACATCTTTTTCATATCTAGATTGTATTTGCGTTCTTATGTACCAATCCATCTTTATTCCATGTTCCTCTAATTGTTGTTTGGTTTTCAACTCCCCCATATCTGTTATAAGTCTTTATATCTTATAATGTTTCCCATGTTAAACATATTGGGGTGTATTAGCGCCTCCATAGTTGAGAGCCAATTTGGAATATTCAAATAATGCTTTCTCTACATGTCCACCATACATGAAAAAAGGTGTCCTTTTCTTTTTTACATTTCCAACACATAGAAGAATATCCGTTATACATTTTGGCTAATCTGGCCGGAGGGAAATGCCATCTGTAAACCATCTTATACAGGTTTTCTTTATATGATGTCGCCAATGTGATTTTGTTATTTCGCTCCCATACTTGCTGCCATTGATCCATATTTATATTATATCCTAGATCTATTGCCCACGTCACCATTGTTTCTTTAACCTGCTCCTCATATAGCTTATGTTCTAACAGATGTTTATAAATATTCTTTATTTGTTTTTTCTCCGGGCCTAACAGTATTTTATCTAACCCCGTATCTTGTCTGTTAATGCCTCATTCTTGCTTATCCTTCATGTATCTTGCTTGTATCTGGAGATAAGACCACCACACCATGTCTATTCCTTGTTGTTTTAGCTCTTGTTTTTGTTTTAAATAACCTTCTTCTGTCAAGATGTCTTTATATATAATAGCCTTGTCTTTCCTATACAAATTGGGATATGTGACTACCTCCAATGGCGATGGCCAAGCCAGAATCGTTGTGTAATATTGACATTTAACTATATTCCAGCTTTTTATTAATTCTTGCCGAACCTTAATTACATTATATTTTGATATCTATAGGAACAAAGTTCCATATGCAATATAAATGCAGACAGAGTGCCAACACTGTTTCTTGTTCAAGTGAATCTCAAGTTCATTTTAGGGTTAATTTGGAATGAAGAAATAGTTAAATATTTGTCGGTTCTAAATTACTACCCCCCAAAGGTGCCTTTCAAAGAGGGGGACAGAGGAAGCTGTGTTGCTTTTCGTGGATTCATCTTCTCATATATCCACTGGTGCATTCTGTTTCTGAATAAGATGATTCACTTTCTCCAGAGACACTAAGATTTTCCCATGAACAGAGAGCACTTTGAACATCAAAGTTCTGACTATCTGGCATTTCAGTGGACTGGTTTGGTTCAAATGCATCAGAAATGCAAGGCTCATTCAACTGTAGTATATCTTCATGGTCAAATGTAGAACTATCCAGTTTTTCAGCTGCTATTCTTATCATCACAGTATTTAAGTCTACATTTAAGCAGTCTGTACATTCTGATTCTGCTACATGGGCAGAATTCACTTCAGAAAGACATAATTGGGTAAGTGGGCTGCCTTTGCCAATATCATTCTGATTTTTTTCTGCTAAAGTTCTGGTTATTTTATCCGTAGTAGCTGAGCAACCTGTGAACAGCTTCTGAGTGATGGCCACATCAGAGAATGGTGTAATCTTGTTAAAGATGCCACATTTGGTATCAAAGTTACTCTCATCATCGCTTTCACTGTTCTCATCCTCACTATGTTGTTGCACTGTGTTACTTTCCTGGACTTGGACATCACAAATTTCTTCAAGATCTGATCCAAAGACTGAACAAGCCATGTTAGGTTTGATGTTCTGGGAAAAAAACAAAACAAATGTTGGTATGCACAAACATTCACAGGTGCTCTCAAAAGAGTAATATACTGTATTCCTTTCACTAGTGATACAGTATTTCTTTGCTTCTTTCTATCTTTAATGGTGGGTCTTTATTAAACTTCCCTTCCTGAGAATGTCAAGTGCTTTCTTCTTCTTTAATTCTGTCCTGAATTCCCTTGTGGGTAACTAGGTACAGGTTCCTATTTCCCTCTTTCCTGGTGAGGAAAAATAAGCTAAACAAATGGACATAAAATCTCTCAACAAACCTCTTGGCAGTCAGAGCCCAACTCTTCACTTCTCTTAAGAAAGCTATGAGATGCTGGAGTTCAATGGGGCTTTATATTCCCAGTAGGAAGGCAGACATGGCTTTTGTAATCTTGTTTGATATATTGTTCATAAATGAAAGAAAGCAGGTGACATATACAATTTTTCACTCAGACGTACCTTGTGCCCTCTGGCACAGAGTGATGGTTGATATCAGAGGGCAGGACTTTCAATTCAGTTTTACTGCTAATGTTACTGTCAAACCCCACCCTGGTGTAATCTGCTTCAATTAAAAGGAGAGCTGGATTTCCCTTGGATAGAAAACATTTCCTCATGTCTGATGTAGATGTTTAACCACATCTATTACCAGAGGCAGCACATAATAATTAGTGGGAATTTCATTTCGCCTCAGCCGGTGGTGGGATTCAACTATGTGAACAACCGGTTCTCTGTGTGGATGCCACTTCCGGAAGTCCATTCTGGGCCTGGGCAACAAAAAATTAGCTACTGGTTTTGCCAAAGTGGTGCAAACTGGCTGAATCCCACCACTGGCCTCAGCAACATAATCTATCTATTTTAAAATAAGATTCTGTTGTATTACCAGAGGGCTGTTTACAGCAAATTAATCTTGCTTCCAAAATCAACTCTAAAGTTACATACTGTAAAGAACCCTTCTTAATCTTGTGCAGGTTCTTGACTGTAAGGTCAACCCCACTTGTACTGTATATCAAGTCCTGCAGCAATACAGCCAAACTAAGAGTGCTGCTTCTTTTGGCACATTAACTGAATATGTAAACGTATAAGACTAAAATAAAGAGCAGTCTTACAGCCATTAGGATAGAAATAGTCTTTAAAGTAATGAAGAAGCTACATCACCCCAAGTCTATGAAGAACAAGGAATATAGGGAATGTTTAGTGGAGTGTAAGGGTCATGTAGCCTCTTCTGGGAACCCCTTTCACCATCTTTGGTTGAACTGCCCTAACACATACCAATCTTAAATTGAAAGTATTTTGCCACACTACTTACCAAGACATTTGGTGATATTCTCCTTTTAAAGTAAATGAAACCAGTCATACATAGGAAAACCAGAATTAGTCCCACGAATAGTAATAATAGAGCCAAGATTGAAAGTATAGTATAAACTGCAGATTAAAAATATATTTCATTAAGCAACAATGCATTTATAGATTATTACAAAATTACCTGGTTTTGTTAGGAAGATGAAGAACTATAATTTAATCCTGTAAAAGATACTGAAATGCTAAGCAAATTCTATGTTTAGTCTTTTAGTCCAGGGCTTTTCAACCTTTTCACCCATTGTACCACTTTTAGGATATGGCAATATCCGAGTACCACCAGTTGCCTAGCAAGGTGTCAAAAACTTGACCCCCCCCAAAAGGAAAAAAGTGATAAAATACAGGTTGTCCTTGACTTACAACAGTTTGCTTAGTGACTGTTCGAAGTTACAATGGCACTGAAAAAAGTGCCCCCCAAGCCACAGCCGAGCAAGACACCTGCCTGCCCACCCAGCGGCGCTCTTCGTCCTGCTTGAGGTTTTCATTGTTGTAAGCATTTCTGTTGAGGATCTGCAGTGGGGGTGGGGTGGGGGGTGTTTGGTTTTTATTCCCCCCATCTGCTGGGTGGTTGCAGCAGGTTTTGGTCACTTCACATGACCCTGGGACACTGTGACCGTCATAAATATGAATCAGTTGCCAAGCATCTGAATGTAAATCACAAGACCCTGGAGATGCTGCAACATTCCAGCTGATCGGCGCTTCTCCTGGGCTCAGTGGAAGGGCCAGGATCAGCGCCAAGCTCCAGCTGGAGCCTGGCGCTGATCCTGGTGCTTCCGCTGAGCCCTGACAGCCCCGAAGAAGCGCAGATCAGCTGGAAAGCGGCACTGATCCTGGCACTTCCGCTGAGTCCTGACAGCCCTGCAGCTCCAGCCATCTCTCACTCAGGCTTGTGCGGTGCTGCCACCGGTTCAGCTCATTCCCCTCCCCCGCTACTTTTCTAGGATGGTCGCGTACCACCTGCCAGGTTCCAATGTACCACAGGTGGTACCCGTACCACTGGTTGAAAAGCCCTGTTTTAGTCACAAAATAAAACAGGTTCTGACTCATTCCATTTCTTTGTTTCATAATTCATTGTACCTTGTCTGTTATTGGAGTCAAGCATAATACATTTTGGAATGGTGGAAGTGCACTGGGATTTAAAACTGTTAGACACCTGAACAGCAATGCAATAATTTTTATTTGGATGCAAATCTTCAAGAATAGTGAAGAAACTATCCTGTTGGGTTGTATTATCAATACGCTGTAAAAGACAAAAAAAGTGAATTGTTTTTAAATGCATTGAAACGATAAAGCTAAATGATGTGAATTGGTGAAACTCCACTTTAACCTGGAATCAAGGTATGGCTTTGCACTTACAGTGGTACCTTGGTATGCAACGGCTTTGAAACTCATAGAGTTTGGAACTCAATGCACTTTGATACAAAAACTTTTGTCCCGGTACTCATTGTTTGTTTAGTACTCAATGCACAAGCTAGAACTTGTTGGTGCTGGCTGCCTTGTGACTCACTACATTATTATTTACGGGAAAAAATTGTCTGATATTCATTATTTTTGGTACTCATTGTGCTGCCTGGAACCAATTAACAATGAGTACCAAAGTACCACTGTATTTTTTATTTAAGAACGTCATTTTCTATATGGGCGTTAGACAAATACTGAGATATTTTATGAAGTGCTCTAAATACCAGTACTATTACTATACCATTATTTATAACTACAACAATCATAATAGCAATGTCAACAATAGTTTTATTTTTGTAATTCGTGTTTCTGAATTGTATGACATTGCAATGTCAACATACTATCTTGCTTTTTTATATTCTGTTAATTTAACTCAATTATGTGGGTTTATATGCTAGTATGGCAATTGATTTTCTATATTAGACTTAACAACTCAATCCATCAAGTTCAGTTGGCACTCTGAACCCATACAAAGGAAACTTGTCCATCTGGATTCCATCATTCCATTTAGAACACAAACACTGAAGTATAATTTTTGGAATTGTGGAAGAAACCAAGGTCATAATGGCTGAAAATGATGTGAACTCAATACACTTGAAGCTGAGATAGATAATATTATAAAAGCAAAAAAACTTAACACATTTCTTAATTATAAAGTGAATTCTGTTTGATATTTTTAAGACCTTATTTAATAATCAATTACTTACATTTTCCTTGAAATCAGCTGTTTCCACTGTGATTCTATAATCAAGTTTTTGATAAATTTTAAGTAATAGAGGTGGAAGTTTCACTGTAACATTTACACAGTTTTGACAAACAGAAATATTAAACTGAGGTGGCTTGAGGCATCCTGATTAAAACATAAATAAAAGAAATTATCAATACTATTTGCTAGCAATCCAGATTTTTTTTATCTTAGCAAAAATAACATTCTAAAATATAAGTATGTTAGAAGTCCTACAGGATTTCTAATCAAACCTAATGAATTATTATAAATAATATTTTCAATAGAAAGACACATATAGTACAATACTTTTATTTTTTAATGTTTTATTATTGGTTTGCTTTAATCATCAATGTCAACTTTGATTCTGAAAGTCAGCCCTGAATATAGAACCTGATTCTTTTTGTTACTCTTAACTTCTAGCCTAGCTTTTTAAAAATCTCCTTAAATGTATAATATAACTGGATATAAATGTCTTCAAGGCCAATTCGCTTGACAAATGAACAAAAAGTATTATTTTCCCAAAGGAAAATAATTTGATTTGAGATTTCAGTGAAAATGCATGATTCAAACAAAAGGAAGGAAGAAATTACTTACGTTGAGTATATGGACTGAATCGTAGAATATCTGAATAATTTGTTCTATTGCTGGTATCTTGCTGTACTATAATAAATGCATCTCCTTGGCAAAAATCTGCAAATTCATTTGTTAGATTGCAGAACAGTCTTGTAATACTAGTACATTCCTGGACTGTCTTCAAGTCTGATTTTCTATTAGTATATAAAAACAAGAAAAAATACATTTTTTCAGTAAGAAAACAGTGATTCTAAAGAAATATATAATTGGCCAAAATGGTGGGCCCAAATTAGATTTATATGAAGTTGTCTATGCAAGATTAGGCACCGATAAAATTCTATGTTTCAATTAATTCATAGTTGATGGAATCTCTACATCAGGGGTGTCAAACTGCCAGCCCACGGGCCGGACGTGTCATCAGGAAACCACACCCACCCCATTGCCAGCAATGGCGAAAAAACTCCGATACGTTGCGCAATGTCACATGATGTCGCAAGTTTGACATGTTTGCTCTACATGGTGTATAGTTAAACATGACCTTTTCCTGCAAATTTCAATGTATTCTTACTAGTTATGTGCACAGATTCAAAATGATAAAGCAGTAAATATGGCAGCTATAAAGGTCTGTAGTAGACCCTTCCAATTTTGTAACACTTCCTTTGGCAGAAATAACAGCTTTGTTGTTTCTTACAATTGAGAATGTTTCCGTTCTCACTTTTAGATTCTTTTCCCATTCTCCCTAGCAGAACCCTCCTTGCTCAAAAATATTCCTGATCTCCTTGTAAGTACTGCATCTTTGAGAAGATCCTCTTACACTCTTTGTTAAGAACAACAGTTGCTATTAAAAACAAAGCAATGAGCAAGAGGTGCAAATAGGTCATCTCTTTTCTTACTTCCAGAGCTAGTGATCTGTTCCCTGCAGTTCAAAGGGCATTCATTTGTATCCCTCCCCTTTTCTTAATTTTCCTTCCTATTCCAACTATTCTTTTTCCTTAACCCAGGTGTTGCCGAAGTATGGATCATGACCTCTAGAAGATTGGTATCAATTTAGAGAGCAATTGACTTTTAAGCTAGTGAGGCATAATGGGTGTTCAGTCCAAACCTATTTATTTTTGTCTGGACGAGCCTACAGCAGGTTTGTGCAGAGAAAATGGGGAGCAAAACTCAGGAGAAAATTTCAAGAGCTAATTCAAGCCCTGTGCTTAACTATTTATCAAAATATTAATGAATCACAGTAGTTTCATTTGTTTCTTTGACATTACATGCTATTTAGTTTTATTTGGGGAGCATCACACACATTCATTTATCACTTAAGACAGTCATAATATTGCAGAGTTTGAAAACATTTCTATCCTTTCTCTGATATTTTTTTAAAATGTGGCAAGTATGTACACATACACATGTAAAAGCAAGAAAACAGGCTGAAATACAGCTCTAAATCACTCATGCATGAATATTTCTGAGCTAGAAAAATTCTGAAAGGAAGAATGGGAGAGGATTTCAAAAAATTTTCTTAATTATAGGAAACATTTGAAAGGAGGTTTTACAAAATATTGAGTGGAAAAGTGTCTAAACTTCTGAACCTGCTATATTTACTTTTTTCTTATTTTGAAATTTTAAACGTGCACATAAACAATATGCACTGAAATTTACAAAAAGATGCCATATTTAACTATGTACCATAAAGGACATATATCAACCATTGTTCACTTGAGGTTCATTGGAACTTATAATGGGGAACACTTGGGTGGTTAAGGCTAGTGCACAGGTCGGCAACCTGCAGCTCTGGAGCCGCATGCGGCTCTTTGAGCCTTCCCCTGTGGCTCCCAGCCTCCTCTGCCTTTGCAGAGAGAGACAGAGACAGAGAGAGGCAATTGCACTTCCCTGCTTCTCTCTCTCTCTCTGTGTGTGTTTCCTCTGCCTTTGCAGAGACAGACAGAGACAGAGAGAGGCAATTGTGCTTCCCTGCTTCTCTCTCTCTGTCTCTCTCTCTCTCTCTCTCTCTCTCTCTCTGTGTGTGTGTGTGTGTGTGTGTGTGTGTGTGTGTGTGTGTGTGTAAAAGAGAGTGCACTCACAGTGTTCTCCGAGGAGCTGAAAAGCTTACTGGGCGGAGCTCCTCCCTTTGCTGCGTCTCTGCAGGAAGCAGGAAGGGCAGGAGAGAGCTAGCTAGCCCAGCTAGGCTGACTCAGGAATTCTGGGAGTTGAAGTCCATGAGTCATAAAAGAGACGAGGTTTGCCTACCCCTGAGCTTGTTGGACAACAGCTTGAAGCTTGCCAGGTGAGCAGCAGAAAGGAGAGGGGGGGAGAGAAAGAGAGAGAGAGGGGAGAGAGAGAGAGAGAGAGAGAGAGAGAGAGAGAGAGAGAGAGAGAGAGACAGAGAGAGAGAGAGAGAGGAAAGAGAGAAAAAGAAAGAGAGTGGGAGGAGTGGTAGACCAAGGGCAGATAGAGAGGGAGGGAGGGAGAGAGAGAGACAGACAGAGAGAGACCTTTTTGACATCTAAAATGAAGATAACACTGCATATATCCTTTTTTAACCTGTGTGTGTGTGTGTGTATACACATACACACACACACACACACACCTATAATAAAGGTAAAAAAAGATATATGCAGTGTTATCTTCATTTTAGATATCAAAAGGGTTTTGCGGCTCCCAGTGTTTTGTTTTTGGTGGGAAACGGGTCCAAGTGGCTCTTTGAGTGTTTTGGGTTGCCTACCCCTGAGTTAGTGAGTCAGTATTTTTTCAAACTCTTTGATTGTCTCAGAATTTTTCTTGGTTTCAGTGGAAATGTTTAAGGTCCTTTAGAATCTCAGATGCCTTTACTGGGCATCTGCTGCTGAGAATTTCTTTCTATCTTCCACCTTAGATAGTAGTTCATTTCTGCTCTCTGTGCATCTGTTTCTGAGAAAGCTGGGCAAGTAGCCAGCTTCCCTGGTCCCACAACACGATGGTCTGAATCCTGGCTTTCCTGAGACCTGGGGGGGGGGGGGGGGAAGAGAGAACATATGTGATAGAAATGCAAGCATCGAAAAAAAGAACCATATATCATCCCATTTTCTAGTGTCCATAAAGACCAGAGTCCTCTGAAAAATCTTCCTTATTGTTCTACAACCTAAGGCAGTTTTTTCCCTCAAACTGGTACACTCCTTCTGGTTGTTGTACATGTGCAAGGGGCATCAGACATCTAAGTAAGGCAAGGCAAGAAGATATTCTAGGAGACAGATCCATTCCTGGAAGCTTCATCATCTGGATACCGAGTAGAGCACAACAATGTTTAAATGAATTTACTGATTAAGACATTTAGAATTGGTTTTATTTTGGGGATAACTTGACACAAGCTATGGTTTAAAATTAAGGATCAGTGGACTGTGTGAATCCAGTTTAAATTCAGGAACAGGTTATGTGTACTCCACTACCTGTCTAAAACCCGAAGCATTAAATGTAACAGTTCATGTTGAAGCAGAAAAATGGGGAAGATTGAATAAAAAAGCATCAAATCTGATCTTCCCAAGTAGAACAGAACAATATATAATGAAATTTATGGCTGATATTTTCACACCTACCACCTTTGATTTTATTTTTAATTCTATTGTTGTTATTACATTTATATCCTGCCTTATCTTTGGTAGCTCAGAATGATACACGTGGGAGTCTCCTATTACTTTGTTCTTATACTGCAACCTTTCAGGAAGTGTGTTAAAAGAGAGAGGAACTGGCTCTAAAATTTTATGGTCATGTGAGAACACAAACCTGGGTTTCCCTGCTTCGTTTAACACAGGGGTCTTCAAACTTGGCCCTTTTATGACTTAGGGACTTCAACTCCCAGAATTCCTCAGCTAGTGTGCCTGGCTGAGGAATTCTGGGAGTTGAACTTCCCAAGTCATAAAAGGAACAAGTTTGAAGACCCCTGGTTTAATACCTATACTACAATGCTCCTGATTTAATTCTAAGCCTCAAATTTACCTCACTCCAAAGCAAACATTGTGGAAATGTTAAGACACATTACAATCTTTAAACTATTATTCACTGGCCCATTGTATTTTGCTGTAAAACTTTGTGTTTCACAACATAGAAAGCAGGAAGACAAAAATTATACAGTGGAGTATAATGAACTAAAACAAAAGAGGACAAATATAGATATGAGCATCAACTCAGAGTTGGGCTGTTGGTTTGATCTCTGAGCTTGGCAATTTGGTTGCAAATGTTTTGCCTCCATTTGGGGGGGGACATCTTCAGTGCACTTTTTTAAAAAATAAATTTTATTGAGTTTTATAAGGTTAGGGAAGGGATGGGATCAGTATGGGAGTTGGGATTCAGGATGGGGGTCAGGGTTGGGATTAGGGCAGGGATGGGAAGAACAATGGGGTTACCCCCCATTGACATAAACATTCTCAAGATTTAACAAGCAGGCTATTGTCTGGGTACATATATTCAATAACACTAATTAATATAATAGTAAATAGCTATAGTAAATATGAGAAACAATAATCATAAACAATGTCAGTTAGTCAGTACATGTCCCTCATCTTATTAATATATATATATATACACAATAAGGTATCACATTCATTTCTCACTATCTTTTTGCTAGCCATTGATAAAAATTGTCCCATGTTTTAAAATAAACTGAATCTTCTTTCTCTTTAATCTCTAAAATTAATCTGTCCATTTCAGTGCACTTTTGAATTGTGCTAATCTGTGAGAGCACTGGCCTTTAAATATTTTTTTGTGTGATTTAAATTGGTGTGGGTGTTGGTTTCGGGCTGTTTGACTGGCTGGTTGTTGTTGCTGGGCCATAGTCTTGGTATTTAAGTACTGTCTATGATGTGATGCAAATGGTGTTGTTTGTTCGGTTGCCTCTGAGTCATAGTCTGGTTTCAGATTGTTTGGTTGGCTGACTGTCATTGTCGTGACGTGGTCCAATTTCTTGTGGAGGGTTGTGATTTTTGGTGCTGTGTGGTGGGGTGCCTGTTTGTTTGTTTTTAAATGCTGCCTTCAGGATTGCGGTTGAAGTAGTTCTTTCGTTCTCAGAGGTTGGTAGATTGGGTCGATGTCTGTTTATTGATTTATTGGTGGAGAACCAGGCTTCGAGGAATTCTCTTTGTCTCAATTTCGCTTGGGTTACAACTATGGTTCTGTTTAGATGAAACTTGTGTCCTTCTGAGTCTTCATGGATGGACATAACACAAAATAGTATTTACATCATACAAAAAGGTATTTAAAGGCCAGTGCTCTCATAGACAAGCATAATTCAAAGCGCACTGAAGATGATTCCCCCGAATGGAGATGAAACATTTGCAACCAAATCGCCAAGCTCGGAGGTCAACCCAACAGCCCAACTACCAACCCAAGGTACTAATATTCGAACACATTTCAACTTCTCAAGAGTTATTTTACTTGCCTAGAGTTGTAAGAATTAACTTGTTCCTGGCCTTTTGCTGCTGATTTCAACTCTGTTCCCATGGTAAGGAAATTACAGCTAACATTTCTAAAAAAAATAAAACAAGACATTTTTCCCTTCCATTTTCTGTCGAATTTCCCAGCCATTCCACAAATGCACCCATCTGGTCTAGGTTTATCTCCATCAAGTAGGAAAAAGTGTTAATTACTGCCATTGACAGTAATGATTGACTGGTTTATTTTATTTATATAAAATGAGAACATATTGCCAATTGAGTGATAACTTTAGATTTTTGCAAACATACTTTAATTGAATATAACAGACTGATGTTCTTTAATTTATAGGCACTTAGTAAAAACTGTGATGATGAAAATATTCACAATACAGGAATGTTGCGTTCAGTGTTGTATGCAAGTATATACTGTAGGTCACAGGTTTGCATCAATCATCTCATAATGCACTTTTTGTCACTTACTTTCCTTTGACCTCTTGAATACACCAAGGATTCCATGGCTATATTGCCTCAAGATTTTCAATTGGTTTTAGGTCCATACAGGATAGCAACTATACTCCAAGTACATGCAGCACTCAGAATCCTTTCTGACTCCATTTGCTGAAAATTGTTTTCACAGTTTTCTATCATTTTCAGTCTGGAAACTAATAATACTGATTTGTATTCCCAATAATAGTCTTTATAGAATTAAAAAAGAACCCTCTTTAAACTCTACCTTAAATTCAGGAACATACAGAAAAATCTGGCACCATTCAAATGTATGTCATAGCCTGGTTACTTTGCATTATCATCCCATGCTCATTGGCCTTTGCCAGTCCTACAAATATCAAGTGTGGCTTCTGTCCACAAAATGATAACCACTCCCCAACTTTACTCTGTATCTATAAAAAATAATATCCCATCTGATCAAATTGCCTCCAATCTATGAAAGATGTGCCAAATAAATGTATTGACTTTTAAACATTTGCATTATTTTTATTTTTCTTGAAGCAGTATCTAAGCACCTGTGTTAAAATAATGCTTTGTCCACCATGATTACTTATAAACACTCACAAAATGTAAATATACATAGGTATAAAGAAAACAGATAAAAACCTTTTCATTGTATACATCACTGTGTAGCATGCTGATGTCCTTGAACTATTTCCAGCTTTCCATGATAAAATGTACTCAAAATCCTCTGGTTTCATCTTCAGAATGAGTGGTGATTCAGATGTTTCTTGTGCAAAAAAAAAAAAAAAAAAGACTCTCACTGTACATTTATATTCATCAAGGAAGAAAATACAAACAGAATGTACAAACGTATCAGGACATGCCATGTCTATTTCTCTCCTAGCTTAAGCCTAGACTTTTCTTCCCGCTGCCCTCCTTTACAATTTGATGATTCTTCCAGCAAATCCAAAACTGGCCGTCTATCTTGCCCCTTACCTCATGCTTCAAGCAGACTGTTTGTCACTGTTATATATTTGTAAAGTAAGAAGCGTGCAAAAGCCTGCAAAAAGAAAGGGGGAAGAAGGAAGAGGAGGGCATAAGAGCTATCTTTGAAAGAGTAAAAAAAAATTGTTTTGGAAAATAGGAGAAATTAGCACAGTGCAGCACAGGTTTCAAGCAGAATGAGATTTCCTTGGGTTTCTATGACAAAGAACTCAGTCTGAGTCAATGGTGGATATAAATAGTTGCAAAACATTCCATTGGCCATAATGCAAATTGGTGCTTTCTCCCACCACCATTTAAGCACCCAAGGTGCTCCGGGTTTGTTAAATGCACTTTTATCCCATTTTTTTTTTGCTGGATATAATTTAAATCAAGCATTAGATTGTAATCAATCAGCATGTTATTTTCTAAGAATACCTATGGCCTGATATGGAGACCAAGGAATTCTTGGAGATAAGGATGATGCTGGAGGCTAGTGATTTGCTTTGCAGCCTCCCAGCATCATACTGTTGTTGATGATGAAGTTGATGTAGTTTTAATGAATGGAACAGAAAGCCCTGATAGGCCCCTTAATTGAAAGTTCAATTAAGCATCGGCTTTGTGGGTTCCCTCCTTTCCTTCAGCATTTTTCTTTAACACTGGATTGTTACATGTAATCATGAGATTATGATTATATTAAATTTGGTTAATTTAACTAATACAGCTTTATAATCTATCATTTAAAGCGGGCTCATTTTAACATCAGCAGTCTTAAAAAAAATCTAAAAATAAACACTTTCAAAATTTTCTTCCCAGCTATGCAAGAAAAGGATAAAACAGAGTAGGGGATGTATGTGAAGCAGAGGCTTGCGTGATCTTTAGATATGTCACACTAAATCATGCTTTGGCATAATTTTACATAGATCGATGGACAGAATTTATATCACTTTTCAGGGATGTTGCTATCAATAAGAGTTCATCTCTAGCAAGTTCTCTATAGTACATGAAAAATACTTACCAAGTACGTTGCTAAAAGTCAAAGTTATTGCACTGACACATACTGTAAATTAAAGAAAACAAATATTAAGAAAAACACTACAATAATTTGATCATATATAAATAGATGGTTGGAAAATTAATATAAAATAGAATTTAGCATCAGAGATTCATACCCAGGGATGGGTGGGTATTTTGCTACTGAGTAGTTTCATGACAGAAAACAATTCATAAGCAGCTCTGAGCATCCAATCATCTTCAAGGAGGATGGTTACAGGTGTATTATCCCTATTTCTTTCCATAGTTTTCCATGATAAAATGTACTCAAAATCTTTTGGTTTCATTTGTGGTTTGCCCTCTCAACCCAAAATGACCCTGCTTTTCTCTCCTCCATGGCTTTTTATCTCTAAACCTTTCCAAAATATTTAGGTTTATTTAGAAGTCACTATTTGTAAGAAGTGTAAAGTAACCATGATATACTTTTTTTAAGTAGTAAAGATAGTATCTAGATTTATTTGGATATTGGATTTTTGCTTCTCTATTATCTTTTTCTTCTAGACAAATAATGACACCCAACTTATCTATTGTTACAAAAATTCTACTAAAATAAATTGGGAATGGTTAAATATTTTTGTATACAAAAACCAGTTTCTGTGCATTATTAAATTCCTATAGTAAGAAGTTTCTTATCTATTCTCTGTACAATGGCGTAAACAATAGAGAATTTATAGCACTCTTTGCATTCTTTTAGAGTGTTGGAATAGCTATGGACTTTAGTTCTGCACCACCACTAGATACAAGGACCATCAATTTACAGAAGTGTGCTATTTGGGAGTCCTCAGCAACTGCTTGAACAGCAGGTACTTGCAGTGGCCAGGAGGACCAAATCCATCTTATGTGCTGAGTGTTCCCATTCCTGAACTGGAGGCCCTGTTTGTAGTCACCCCGTTTGTCCTATTGCAAGGTGTTGTATATAGGGCTCCCTTTGAAGACTATTAGGAAACTACCAGTGGTCCACAATGCAGTGACATGAATAATTATAGCTGAACTATAGTGAGCCATGTAACATCACTACTTTATGAACTTCGACGGCTACATTAGACTTCTGGATGTAATTCAAGGTGATAGTTATCATCTATAAAGCCTTTCATGGAAAAGATTGTTTGTTGAACTACCTGGCTCTGATTATTTTAGCCTATCTCACAAGGTCCAAGAGGGTGGGCATGTTCATCCTGTCCCTTCTATGAAATAATGTCATTTCATAGGATTCAGGCAGCTTGCCTTCTATTATGGTGCCCGTCTTATGGAACAACATATCCCCTGAGATTCAGAGAGCCCTGAGCCAAATGGCCTTCTGCAAAGCCTGCCTCTTCCCCCAGATACTGGATCAGGGGACGAGAGGAGACCATTTTATAATGATTGGGGTGGTGATTGGGGTTGGCCTCAAACGTGCTATATTTTTATTGTTATTTTTGTTTTGTGTTTGTTTGGCTAGTTAGTTATTTTTTGTTTCTTTTTAACCTGAAGCTAGCCACATAGTATCATAATTTGTGTGTTAGACACTCATATAAATTGATTAATCGAACAAACAAACAAACAATCTTCAAGTACTTCAGCCAACATAAATACCAGTTTGGAGAAGGCTGCTGTAGTCCATCTGACAGCAGCCACTTTCCTCCCTAGCTTAATACTGCCATTTATTACTTTCTTTAAAAATGATCTTAAAATATGTTTTCAAATATTACAATATAGTAACGTACTAATGTTAATATATAATATAATAAATTACAAATTAAATATTATATATTCAAATAGATCCCAACTTTGCTCATACTCTGCTGGAATCAATAGGACTGTTAATTAAAGTTTGTTGATGGGCCAAAATGGCCAAATTTGATGTAACCAGATGATTGAAACAAGTCCAAAAACAGATGTAAAGTAAATAAAAAGGTTTTTTCTTAAATAGTGAAATCTTACTGAACTTTTAAAACACATTTACTTTACAAAAATCCATGGTCAGAGTACAATTTAAGAACTTCCGTTCTGAGAAGATTTATGATCTGAGAGAAGCCATGCAGCTCTCTCATGTCAGTTACACTGAATGGTAGTTTGTAAAATTGGATGGCAGGATTTCCCAGCTATAGGTCTTATTAGTTATGTCAGGTAGAAGAAGAATAGGTATAGGATATAGGATATAGGATAGGTATACTTGTAAATGGTATTTTTAGGGCAATGGTAAATGTATTGTGATGTATATAGATTTTATAATATTTGTGCAATTTTCAACTTTTCTCTAATTTTTAACTGTAATTGGATCACACCCTACTAGAGAACATCTTCTGTTTTAGTTTGACAATTAGTCCTTGACTTACAGCTGGTCACTTAGTGACTGCTCAAAGCTACAATGGACCTACCTAGAGGATACTCAGAACCAGGATCTGAAATTCTGATAGTCACATAGCCCCCGTCATGTAACTGAATTTTGGGCACTCAGCAACTGGGCTGTATTTATGGCCATTTGCAGCATCCTGCAGTCATGTGGCTGCATTTTATGATGGTTTTGCCAAAACCAAGTGTTTGTTTATTTCTTTTGCAAAACAGCCATCTTTGATTTGCTTAATGACCTCCACAAAAAATATCTCAAAACTGGGTTGGACACATGCCCAACACATTTTATGACTTATGACCACGATGAGCAGGCTCCATTATGGTTGTAAGTTGATGAGTACTTATATAACATTCAGCCTTTTGGCTTTCCCTCACCACAATAAAAAAACCCGAAATTTGCTTTTCCTTTTTTTTTATTTACTGTAGACCTTTTTTTTATGTTGGGAGACTTATGGACCTACAAAGTAATAGTATTATTTTTTTTGTAAAATCTATCTGTTGAACAAATAACCACATACAGGAAAAGATAAAAAAATAGGATGACATTAAGGTCAAAGAGAGACAGATGAAAGTGCTATTGGATAGGAAGTCACATATTATACAATACCGTAAGTGGGTATCTGTGAATCTAGCCACTGTGGTTTGTGGGCAATGAATTTTGGGGCTTTGGCATTAGATCCTAGCTAGATAACCATAGCCTTTTCAGTAAATCATGATAAACACAAACTCTGGCTTAGTACAATGTGTTAGTTCAACTAGAAAGTTCTGCAATTTAAAGACAAACCCTCATCGAATAATTAAAAATTATCAGTTATACTTTGTACAACCACTAGATATTTAATATGCAGAACAGAATCTATCCTAAAAGTATGTATTCCCGGCTTCAGAATTGCCCAGCTAAATAAAACATGCATCTGTATTAGGCAGCAACAATACAGGAATATGCTGGAGTTGGATTATCATTTTAATGACAATGTCAAATACATCATTTCATTCTATGCAACAATAGTATTTTACTAAGGAATCCAGCTGCATAGATAATATAAAGTGGTTGATGATATGGATGATGGCCCTCCAGGTTGAATGACATTCAACATATTACTGAGAAATAGTTGGGGATATTTTGGAATACTAATGATGTTTATAACATTGCTAGATTAAAATTTTCAGGACATCTAATTGCTGATGTTGCCATGTAAGAAAATAAAATATGAAGCTGAAAACCAAGAATTACAATGAGAAAAGGAAATATAAGAGATTTGACCATGGGAAAGTTCAACAAAGTGAGAAATGACATGAATCTAATACACACTGACAACAAATTGAAATGGACTGAAATTGGATAATTTTAGTCAGAATATCGTAGTTTTACTACTCAGAACGTGGAAGGAATGGTACTGCTTTCATGGTTAGGAAGGATATAGCAAAGAGACTGCTTGGATTCAATATAATCCATGACTGAATAATATCAATTAAATTTTACAGACACACCTATCCATATTTATGCTCCAATTACTGATGCAGAAGATAAGAAGCTAGAGGAGTCTTATGATCAAGTTCAGTCTACAATTGACAGAACCACAAGGAACAAGTGCTACTTGGGATTGGAAATAGGGATTCTAGAGCTAGAAATAGTAGGAAGAAAACACACCTGGACTGTATGTCCTAGGACAGGGGTCCTCAAACTTGGCAACTTTAAGATTTGTGGACTTCAACTTTCAGCTTTGCTGGCTGAGGAATTCTGAAAGTTGAAGTCCATAAGTCTTAAAGTTGCCAAGGTGAGAACCCCTGCCCTAGGAAACAGAAACGAAGTGGGAGAATGACTTCTGAGTTTCTTCCAATGCAAGATTTCTTCATTGTTAACATGTTCATTAAACAAGGAGGTGGAAGAACTCAATTATAAGAGTAAAGACACGACCAATGTACATAAACGGTTCATGTGCAGAATCCAAATCAGAATATGCAATAACCTGGACAATAACCTTAATTTCTCACTCTAGCAAAATAATGCTTAGTGTCATCGAAAACAAATTACTGTTATATATATAACATCAGATGTTTAGGTGGTGTGTGTGTGTGTGTGTGTGTGTGTGTGTGTGTGTGTGTGTCTGTACACGGAAGGCATCAAGATCTGCATTTTACACAGGCACCGGGGTAAACTGAGAATGTTTTGAGTTGGTTGTTGGAGCAAATGAAGAGAATGACTGAAGCCCTGGGTTTTGGTTATGTTTTATGACTCTTAGATTTGGGGTTTTACTGTTGCTGTCCATTGCCCAGAGTTGTGTTTTAAGATAGGTGAACATACAAATCTTTAAAATAAATAAATAAATGAGCAAACCATAAGAGTTCTTTGAAAGCAAATGCAAAGGCCCTTTTCAAATATTAAAAACTGAAAGCATGGAGACAAATATTTGATGTTGCCAGTTTGCCTACTCCTATCTGTCCTGCACTGAAAAAAAAAGGCTGACTAGAAGTTATCACCACATACCCTATTATATAAAAAGGGCTGCGGATCATGGCTGTACTTCTCTGCAATCAGGAACCCAACATGTCTTCATTACTGAAGTTCTATAACTGTTACAGCCTCTTTGATTGAAATTAGGAAATCCTAGGTTTAAATTGAGGCTAGAGAATATTTCTATCTCCTTTACACATTATTAAAATCCCCAGTGCCTGATAAAAAGCTTATAAAGATACCTTGCAGTCATAGGTAGAACTGTAGAAAAAAGACGTTGCATTTATGAACTTTTCTTCACTTAGGATTGACAGCAAGTTCTGCATGCTGTTGCTGACTCTTTTTTATCAGCTTACTCTCAAGCCCATGAATTCAGAATCAAAGCAGTCTTATCTAAATGGTCTTGTTCCAGTGTAGATATAAAGAACAGCATCTAAACTTTTTTTTCTTAAACTGTATGATACTGTGATATGGAAACTTCACTACGTTCCCTCGTCTGCCTTCTGCAGATGTGCTTATGTGACCCAAGCAGCCTTAAGTGTTGTAGATAAAATCTGCTGCCCCGGTGATCTTATCTTTGGGGAGCAGTCTATATATTAGGAAAATATTTCCCATTGGCTATTAGCCAGCCAATCAATGCTTTCAAAATAGTGACCCATTGTACTAATGCATTTGGTTAGTCTAATACAAATGTGAGTTTCAGGTGAACACTGAGAAAAAAATAAGTGCCGGATGTTACTGTAAATCAGTGAGAAAAGATTGTACATATCAGGAAATTATCGTAAAGATATATAAATAAAACATGGCAACCATTCAAGCATAAAAAGAGACAATTGTTTCCATCATAATTATGATTACCTGGCAGCAGATAATTATATACATTTGCTGTGGCATAATAGAATAACGGAATAATAGAGTTGAAAGTTTTTTAGTCCAACTCTCTGCTCAGACAGGAAATCCTGTACCATTTCACACAAATGGTCGTCCAGTCTCTTCTTTAAAACTTCCTGTGTTGTAAGGTTGGAAGGTTCATAACCTCTTGAAGCAACACATGTATTGTGCATAGCATAAATGTCAGGAAGAGTTGGGGGAGTATTTCAAAGGTACAATATTTTATGTGAAGAAAGTTCCCACCGAGGTGAATATTTATTAGCAAAATATTAACTTTTTTCTTGCTGCACTAATTCTGCTTTCATGTAGATGCCTTTTATAAAGCTATCTTAAGATCACAGCTTAGAATTATAAGTAGTAATAACACATTTTTCTATTATGAACGCAAAATGTGTTTCTTTGTTTTTTTTAAACCCTAACATCGCATATGTTTTAGGAAATAGGTTGAAATCAGGCAAATGATTGATGAAAGAACAATGAATTATTATTTTTCAAAATTAATTAAAAACCTTAAAAACAGCCTTCTGACTCAGCCTTCCATCCTTCCGAGATCGGTAAAATGAGGACCCAGCTTGTTGGTCTGACTCTGTAAACCGCTTAGAGAGGGTTGTAAAGCACTGTGAAGCAGTATATAAGCCTAAATGCTATTGCTATTGCTGCTGTTTCAATTAATGTACCACCTTGAAGACTGTTTATCAATATTCTGTTTCAAATAAACAATTTATTTTAGGCACATGGAAGGAGGTGATCATGACATTTCCTAGGCAAATTTCCTCCCACAATGATAACACACAACCAAGAAGACAAAGGAGAAACTGGCAACAAAAAAACACACCCCAATTCACTACATTCTCTCTAATTAAATTTAACTTACCAAGTTTGCAGAAATTCAGTGGTTTCTTGGAAAATGCCATTGTAGTTTAAAAACACATCCTAGCAATTAAGTGTTGATGTTAATTCTGCATCTGCAACGGACCGAGTGAAACAATGTTCAAAAAATAACAAACCTGGCTGTTTAAAACAATGTACTATAATGTTAAAGCTTTGCTATGTCCTTTGCTATTCAAATAAGGCTTTTTGATGTAAGAGGTTTTTAAACGGGAAAGGAAAATGATTTTCTGTTTTCTCTCTTCTCTCTGCAGGCCTCTGCTATTCAAGTTGCTCCAAAGAGCTGGAGGACCTCCAGAACAGTATGAGATTTCATACTACCGGTAGTAGAAACAATGTAGGTGGGTGTGTGCATATACACAAAAACAAAAACACAGAGCTTCTGTTCACTTGCCAAAGGATACAATGCAATATAACTCAATGTAACAGTCCAAGATTGAAGTCTGCTTATATTTAATAGCTCCTTGTTAAAATTATGAAATCAACATTTTTTCCAACTAAGTCTTTAGTTTATTCCTCCCCTAAAGTGCAACTTATAGCACAACAGTTCCTATAAAAGAAGGAATTGAAACTTGATATACTCCAGCTAAAACAATTTTGTTTCTAAGTACTTTTAAAGCTCAGCATACAGTGTTACTTAGTATTCAAGCAAAGGGTACAGCAATTCAAAACTGCAACCCATTTGTTCAACCACAGCTTCCAGAACGCACCATTTAAAAGTCAGAGGAAGCCAAATGAACTAATCCTTTTTTTCCCTGGAACCTTTAATCAATCTCTGATGGCTGTACATATTTTATGTACAGAAATACAGACATAGATTTCTCTCATTTAGAGCAATTTCTATGCACAATTGCATGGAAGGAAGATAAAGCAGCCAAGCTTGGCTTTGACTGAATTAAATAGTAGTCACAATAAAACGAATTACTCTGATTTCATTGTGGCAAAAGTCTATAACATAGTTATTTATTTATTTATTTTTGACATTTCTGAACTGCCCATCTCCCTCAAAGAGGGACTTTTAAAATCAGGAATCCATTCTAATAAGTCTTGAAAGCAAAACATTAGCTGATAAAGCTATGCTGTAGGTAAAGGTCTAGTAGTTTATCAAACTGCAGAAGCAGTTACAAATCTGTGTTGTTAATATTGGTTTTGTCAGTTTATTTTTCAATTCTTATAAGGCATTCTGATTTGAGCTTACTCTGACTGATATGCAATTCCTGTCTTCATAACTCAGATAAAGACAAATGACAGGAGCAACACAAATAACAATAATTTAAAAATGTGCAAAGATGTGTAAAAACTGGGAATGCAACAGTGAACAGCTATCACCAAGGGCTTTCAATAGTACTGAAGAGTAGACTTTCAAGGCCAACCACCTGCTGAAATGTTTACAAGATGTGTACAAAATGTTTAGAGATGGGATAACTTCTGGTAAGGTCAGAATGGTCTATCCTCATGTTAGAATATTTTGGTGATATTGGAACAGCTCTGCTGAGTCTAGAATGGGATATTTGGGGATCAGAAAGTTTCAGCCCTGAAACAGCTATTTTTTGTTTTGCTGCTAGTAGAAGATACAGAGTCACAAATGTTGACAATGATAGCAGATAGATGTGGGAAGTCAGCCCCCCCCAAAAGGAAATATTAAAAGGGCAGGCAAATATATTTTCTCAAAGGATCTTAAAAAGGCAGAAAAGTATGCCCAGTTTTTCTGTCTCCCTCCCCCAAGCAGAAACCAGCTCTGTAGAAATGCAGATGTAAACCATTCAGGAAGGTTGAAGCTAGAAGATTAAAAAAGACAAAGACACTTAAAATCTACAAACCCCACCCTAACTCTAAGACAGGACATAATAGGATTAACCCACAGATACCAAAGGGGGCACTCAGACTCAGGTCAAAGTTCATGCCACAGGAACAACGCCAAAGAAAAGGCTCCAGAGGGTATAAAAACCTACTCCCTACATGTGCTCACTCTCTTTCTGCCAGAGCCATCTTTCTGTCTGGCTCTCCTCTTCAATAAACTGCGACTTTCTTTCTAAAGCAGTCGCCATGTTGTTTATCCCCGGCTTGGACTGAACCATGATGAAGACTTTTCTTCCAACATAGACATAACATTAATTCCAAAAACTATGACAACAAAACACATGATACATATGTTATATCCCCGGCATATGTAAAGACACATAAACTTTACCTTTAAATAGATCTCCAAGAGGCTTGGCCTAAGAAGACTGCCTTAGAAAGCTGACTTAGGCACCCAAGCTTTTAAAAACAACTATTTGATTCTCACCAGAAGAAATGGGTGGCACTGAAACCAGATCACAAAACCACACTTGAGTGTAAACAACCCTAAATCTGCACTGCCTTCCTTTTTTTTTTTGAAAGGCCATGGCATCTGTGCTGAATTTCCAAATAATGTGCCTTGTGTTAATCTGGGTGGAAGGAAGTAGTACTTTTTGAATGAACAAGGAAGTAATATTCCTGTCCTCACATTTATTTTAAAAAGATAGTGTTGATAGTTAGCCATACTTTACATTAAGAACCTCCCTTAACAGGAATCAGGGCTCTAATAAATTAAATTATTACTGTCCAGCCTTAAGATCATTTGCTACAGAATTAGCTGTCTCAGAATCTGAATTCCTCTCACAAATAAACAATGTTTTTTTTCTAATTCTGTAAACAAAATCTGCCTTCTTTTGCCCCACAGATGCTCAGGACCCTCCACTTGTGAATGATTACTATTAGGGGCATCAGTGGAGCTTTCTGGGGCAAAAGGGAAACCTCTTAGCAACCTCTCCCCCCCCCCCTCTGCATCAGTCATCATAAAGATCCATATTAGTTACCATAAAGCAGCTCCTTTGAGGGCACAAACCTATTCAGGTGTGTCCCTACACAAGTTGCTCGGGGGGGGGGGGAAGAGGGTTGTTGTAGCTTTTTAGGGACGAGCGGGGGCGAGTTAGATCAGGGGTGTCAAACTCGCAACGCCAAGTGACATATCGCGACTTTTTTTGCCATTGCCGGCAATGGGGTGGGCGCGGTTGCGCTATGATGCATCCGGCCAGGACTGACACAGGTTCGAGGTTTTCTGCATCTTGTCATCTTGCGGCCGCCCGCAACAGGCAGACGCTGAGGCTGCCGGAAACCTTCCCCTCGCCCTCCACTCGCTTCCTCTGCAGCTCCCCCGTCCCCCCCTTCAACATGGTGCTCGGGCAAATCCTTCGGTCGCTGCGGCCCTGCTGAAGACGCGCGCGGGGCCTCCTGCACCCCCCCCCCGGGGCGGCCTCCCCTCTTCCTTGGGCTGCTCCTTTGCGCCACACGAAAAGGAGCCGTGCCCAACGCGGGAGCGCAGTTTGGCCTGTCTCTTTCCGCTTCAGCACAAAGCCCAGCCTCGTTTTTCTCTCTGTCAGTCTTGGAAAATGGCAGAGAAGAAATGCCCGGCTCCGGCTCCGCCAGGGGCGGGGCACAATCTGCTTGTCCCAGGCCTGGTTCTCGCCGAAGCCCCTGAGCATTACCCCTGGATGCCAAGGGCGTTCACCTTCGCTCCTCCCTCCCTCCCTGGAGAACGTACAGGGATTGGCCCCCTGCCCGGCGTACCTGCCAAAGGAGCGGCCCTTTCCCCCGGGTCAGACTCGGTCCGAGCAAAGTCAACCAGCCCCGCTTTTCATTGCCGCTCGCTAAAGACTACTCGGTGGTGTACCCGCGATTCCGAAAATGAAAGCAAAACCGAGTGGGAAGGGCGGGGATGCCATAAGCTGCCCCATCTCGACTGCGAGGGTCTGGCTTCGGGGCGGCGGAAAAGCGCTGCTTTGGCCTAGGAAAGAAAGGGTTGTGTGAGTTAATCACAGCCTCTCCCCCCTATCCCCCCCAGTGTTAAGGTACTTTCCTCCATCTTGTGTTCACAAATAGAGTACGTGTTCTTCTCTTTTAATTATAATTTTTACTTTCTTCTGGTTCCCTCTAGTGTCCAAAGTTCAAAATTTTCCAGAAGTCAAAACACCAGCCATTTCCTACAGGGAAGATTATTTCAATTAATATCAAAATCCTATTTCAAATCCATCTAGATCCTTAATCTCTTTATATCTTTCCAGAAACAACACTCAAATCACCCTTTTGCCATTTATTCTCCAAATTTACTAAGTCTTTAAACCTATAGCTAAAAACGTCTTTAATTAAGGATTGAAGGAAACTTCCCCCAGTGAATACCATCAAACTTGCCATTCTGAAGGTTCTTAATATTTAAAAAGTAGTAAATAAGTAAATTTGAAAGTGATTAGGAAATGAGATTCAGCCAAGTTTAATCATCATCATCATCATCATGGCTTTTTTTGTTATAGAACGCCCAGAACAGAGTTCCGGCACCTTTTTTGAATGGAACCTTGTAGGGTAGGCAAGGTGGGTTGTATGACGTGTGTGAGTTCTGGCACCTTTTTTTTACAAAAAAGCACTGATGATAATAATAATAATAATAATAATAGTAAATAATAATAATAGTAATAAAGTTAGAAGGGACCTTGGAGGTCATCTAGTCCAGCCCCCTGCTCAGGCAGGAAACCCTATACCATTTCACACAAATGACTGTCCAATCTCTTCTTAAAAACTTCTAGTGTTGGAGCATTCACCACTTCTGGAGGCAGATTGTTCCACTGGTTAATTGTTCTAACTGTCAGGAAGTTTCTCCTTAATTCTAGGTTGCTTCACTCCTTGATTACTTCTTGTCCTGCCTTCAGGTGTTTTGGAGAATAGCTTGACTCCCTCTTCTTTGTGGCAGCCCCTGAGATATTGGAACACTGCTATCAATTTATATCCACATAGGCTACATTGGACTATGGGTGTAATTGTAATCTCTCAACTCCCAGCCATTTCATCAGCTGACCACAAAAATCTCAGTTGCTGTGATTTGCTTGTGAGTAGCAGCTGTTTGGCGTAGGAGTGACTTCACAATCTCTGCTATCCTGATTTTGCCAGTCAAGATCTGTCCTCTGGCCACCACTTTCAGCCCTAATATCATCCCTACTCGTTCATGGATGTCTAACTTATCATTTCCTCACTGGAAGTGTTGGAAAATAATAATTTCTCACCTAGAAGATTATCTTCCTCAACAACAGTTGATGTAGGAGTGTTATTCTTGTATATGATTAATGTACAACGACTATAGTAATATGTACAACCTAATGTACAACTATAATTCCGTAACTGTGTCTATGATTCAAATACGTTTTCTAATAAATGTTTATTAAAATTATTGGAGAGTCAGCTTAGCTAGTAGACAAACTTTGAAAGCAGTCTTGTTTATTTCTTTATTTATACATTTTATATGCTGTCCATCTCACTATCTAAAGTGACTCTGAAAAGCTAGCTAGATGAATTTGTTGATCCCCAACTGTCATCATTCCTATAGTGCAAGGGTGTCAAACTGACGGCCCGTGGGCCAGATGCATCATAGTGAAATCGCGCCAACCCCATTGCCGTCAATGGCAAAAAAGTTGCGATATGTCACGACACGTCATGTGACGTTGCAAGTTTGACACCCCTGCCATAGTTTCCATGCATAGTGACCATGCTAATGCAAGTTTAATTTTTTGTTTGCTTGCATAGCAAATTTACATGGCTGCCCAACTAAGTCACATCACTTTGGATGACTAATAAAAACTTTGGATGACTGATAAAACCATCTAGTGGGCAGAAAGTACTTAGACATCATAGCTAAATCTCTATGGAGATTCTCAGTCATCCAGGTCATGGTTGTCCCAAAGGTGCTTTTCAAAAGGCAACTGGACTTTCTTTGTTTCGCTTCTCATCCAAGAAGCTTCTTCCTTCAGAACTGAAGAAGCTTCTTGGATGAGAAGTGAAATGTAGTCAAGAAAAAAATGAAGTCCAGTTGCCTTTTGAAAAGCAGCTTTAGCTATGATATCTACTTTCTGCCCACTAGATGGTGCTATAATTTTATTAGAGAATACTGACTGAAAAGCTCTAGAATCTAGATGTATTTAGTGATTATATTGACTTTTGTGTGCAATATGCTGCAACATTCAATATTTTTTAATTCCCCGGGCTAAGCTGTATATATTTTGCTCATATGAATTATGATCAATAGAGAAATATTTCACATACTGCCATCATCTCATCCTTTAGAAACTAGGCTTTTTTTTGTCTCTTATAGAATCAGAAAGGACTTCAAGTACACCTGATCCAAACCCCTGCATGTTAAGAAACAAATTCTGAGAACTGTTTTTTTTTAGAGTTTATTTTTGATAAGGACTGTAACTTTTATATACAGTATATTACTCTGGAATTTCTTAATATACAAATCAGTTATCCCTCTTCTTGGCCCTATAATGTGTTTTTTATTCTGACTGTAATAAGTTTAGCTCTAATTTTATCTCTTTGAGAATAATATTTGGAAAACCACCAATATATTGCTCAGATACCGCATCAGAGTTGAATAATGACAGAAAGTTCACATTGTGATTTCTTTATACGGGTCTGAAGAATAATGATACTGTCAGAACCCATTTATATTTCATTTCTATCTCCTCTGATCTAAAACCAAGTTTCATCTTCCCCTGGATTCTGCCATACTCCCAACAGGGAGGTGATATACTGTATGCCTATGGGCTTATGGCTTTCACTTCCTCTATTTGCTATAATGTAACCTTTTGTTTATTGCCTCTGGGTCTGCTGCCCATTACAATGTAACAAATTGCCTCCTGCACTATGCATCTCTCTGAACTTTCTTCTCCCTAACCTGGCAGCTAGGAAAAGGGGGGGAGGGAGAAATACAAACATCCGGAACATGGCTTATTTCTCCAGTCTCAAAAGGAGGTGTGAAGAGCTGTGGAACATCATGCTATAAATGGAGCCGGTCCGATGTTATCTTCCCTTTCCCACAATGGACTTAACACCTGGAGATTGGCCGGTCTGAACCATCCG